AGTTGTTCGGATGGGACGAAAAACCGAGGTCCTGTGTACATGTTGGCGTGCACGTAAAAGATTCCTTCGCAGTTGGAATTCGATATAAGAGTAGGCCGTAGCGCCGCTGCCCTGGCAAAATTTCCCTCATAGCACACTGTATGGCAGATGCCCGTCTTCATTAGCCCAGTTTAGGAGCAGAATAAGTAGGACGTTAAACCCCATTGCATTTCATTTCTATATAACAAGTCAATAGCCAAACAGTTCTTAAATGGTAGGCCAATGTGGGAGCTCAGTGAACAAGGTGCTTGCTCATTAACCCAGAGGTTATTATTATTATTATTGTTCGATTTATATAGCGCTTCATTACACATGAGTGTATCTAAGTGCATTCACAACAAAACAGTTCATAAACATTTTTGAAATAAATATGTTTTTAAGTTAGTCTTAAAACTATGGATGGAGAGAGAGAGAGAAATGGGGTTTAGGTCATTTCGGGACAAACACATGGTTTAATTTTTTTATTTCAATAATTCGCTTGCGCGTAGGGGTCTTTAGCAGTGTGAGGAAACCGGAGGACCCGGAGAGAACCCACGAAGTTGGACAGGCGACCCTACTCCTTGTCACATACAACCGGGGAATCGAAACCCTGCCAGTTCACTCAATGACAGACCGTATGATACAGCGCGCACGTGCTAACCATTCGGCCATCGACCCCCCACCCCCCTCTGGATGGAAGAGGACTCTTGAAGAGTTTTTGGAAGATCATTCCACATTTTAGCTGCTCTGACGGAGAAAGCATATTCACCAGAATGTTTCCAGGTTCCGTTTCTAGTCCTGATAAAGCAATGAAATGAGGTTTAACATCCTACTGTTCTGCTCCGATTGGGCTAATGAAGACTAACCAGACTAACGTCGTAGTAATAAAGAAAAATTTCCATGATGTTTGATATTACAAACCTCCTGACCCAAGTGTATAGAGATTCATAAAAACTCCATTTGATACAGGTCTCTACTTAATAATGAAGAGAGAGAGAGAGAAATGGGGTTTAACGTCCACTCGACACAAACTAGGTCATTTCGGGACTAACATATGGTTTAATTTTATTTACATAATTCGCTTGCGCGTAGGGGTCTTTAGCAGTGGGAGGAAACCGGAGGACCCGGAGAAAACCCACGAGGTTGGACAGGCGACCCTACTCCTTGCCACGTACAACCGGGGATTCGAAACCACGCCAGTCGACTCAATGACAGACTTTACGATATAGCGCGCGCACGCTAACCATTCAGCCATCCAACCCCCCTTTAATAATGAAGACAGGCATATATGCCATGCAGTCAGTGTGCTATAGTCACAGGGAAATTTTCATCGGACAGCAGAATTTAATGAAATTTATGGGAAAATAAGATGGTTAAAGACATAACTTGAACATACATTATGCAAGAGTTAAATTTGTCTATTGCAGGTCTTTCTTTAGGCCTGAAATGTTACCTAAATTATTAATTAGACATTAATTAACCTATCCAGACCATAATCAACTCTAGATGGTTATGCTAGCCTGCAATCTTTAGTGGATTATGAGCCGATTTACTGCATAACTTTCCTTCACAATTTAGTAATGATGATCGAGGCTAGGCGGAAAATTCAACCGCTTAATTCTCGGTTCATAGTGGATCAATTTGACTGAAATTTTCAGCAAATTGCCTTTACATTATCTATTTTTTAACTATTATAGTGAGAACTTCCAGCTCTTTATCTTATCTCCCATAATGTATCTTTAACTTGGGTCAATGCCCAGATTCTAGAAGTGACATTTTAAAAATGCTAATCTAATAATAATTTACAAGAAATACTTCAATCTATCCATCATTTCCGTGGATATCATCATTGTATCCAATTCAGATAATATTAATTGGGGTCATTTTTCTCGGTTTTTATTTCAGATGAACAAAATTGAAAAGGATGGTAATTATGCCATCTATCTTGTCTTATATAAAAGAAAGTTTTAATTTCCTTGCCAGTCGTAATATTAAAGATTAAATTTCTGCTTTTGATAAAGTTCTTTCTTTCCATAACTTACTGATTAATTATATCATTTCATTAATGTCAAGACTAAATCTGGTTACGACCTGATTGATTTTCTCATCATTAAAAAAGAATCCAGATTGAAATAATACTGTCTACCTGATTAGACTTTTTTTGACCGGTTATAATTAGAGACATTTTGGATGAATTCCATGCCACTTTTTTACAGAAATGATAATTTGATTTCCTTGCTTTTGAAACTTTAAAGGAACAAAATTCCAGACTAGAAAGGCAAAGAAAACCTTTCACACCATGTGTCTGTCGTTGGGGCATGACAGCTCAATTGGGGGGTAGATTGGAGCTGTGTCTGACCAGGCTGATGGATTTTGATTAAGCCCAACAATAATTTGATCCTCAGAAGCATGAAGGTCTTCGGGTATGGTAATTGCTTGATATGTACTAAATTAGCCAGAAACCATGTTTTAACTTCAGTCGTCATTTAAAGATACATCATGGGAGATTCGGTAACGAGTTGGCAGTTCTCACTATAATAGTTAAAAACTAGATAATGTAAAGGCAATTTGGTGAAAATTTCATTCAAATTGATCCACTATGAACCGAGAACTAAGCGACTGAAATTCCCATAAGCCTCGGTCATCATTACTAAAGTCAGTACGATAAACAGCATAGTCTCGATTATCCATTTAATCGTTTAATCGAGAAGGAAAGTTATGCAGTAAATCAGCTTACAATCCACTAAAGATCGCAGGCTAGCGCTGCCATCTAGAGTTGATTATGGCCTGGATAGGTTAATTAATGTCTAATCAATAATTTAGATAACATTTCAGGCCTAAAGAAAGCCCTGAAATAGGCAGATTTAGCTCTTGCATAATGTATGTTTAATAAATAATATTTCACACCAGTCATCTTGTGTTTGTTTATTTTGTTTCAGGACTGTGTTCTCCAGACAAGGCAGAGAACGCAAAAAATGTTAGCTTACCAAACAACATATATTGGTTCAAGATTATTCAAATGGAAAGTATGATCATCTGGAGTTGTCATTCGTGTCGTAATTACTTCTATTCCAAGATCGTCAGTGGAGACCAGAATGATGGCCCGGCTCTATCCACGAACATCCTAGGTCAAAATGGCACCTAACCTACGTTTTTATTTTATTCGTCTAGCTAGACTTGTTTAGTTTAATCAATATTTTATTCAATAAACTGAATTGGATTGAACAACGGGTAAAGACCTATATCTAAAGAAAACATTTAAGTCTGTATTTGTGTTAAACTGAAACATGGAAGATAATTATCGACTGCCTGGCATATTATATTGAAACTTTGATCTCATCTGTAGTGCTGATTACACATTCCAAAACTTAAACAAAAAAAGAGAGAAAAATGGGTCTACTTGACACAAACTAGGTCATTTCGAGACTAACATACATGTAGTTCAATTTTATTTCAATCATTCACGCAGGGTCTTTAGCAGTGGAAGGAAACAGGATCGGTGACCCTACTCCTTGTCATGTACAAGCGGGGAATCAAAACCATGCCATTTGACTAAATGACAGACTAGCATTAATGCGTTAATCCTTCGGCCATCCAGCCCCCTCACAATTGGACAAGGAATGGAATGAAGTTTAATGTATCACCCAAACAATACTTTGTGTACACAATAACAGCTATGCGCAATCAATGTTAGGGAAGAGAATTAGGCCCAGACAGTAGTGTTTTCATCTATTCTCTACCAAATTCATATGGTTAAGGATTCTTGAGAGAGAGAGAGAGAGAGAGAGAGAGAGAGAGAGAGAGGGTTTAACATCCACTCAACACAAAGTAGGTCATTTCGGGACTAACATATGGTTCAATTTTATTTCAATAATTCGCTTGTGCATAGGGGTCTTTAGCAGTGGGAGGAAACAGGAGGACTCGGAGAAAACCCACGAGGTTGGACAGGTGACCCAACCGGGGAATCGAAAAGGGTTCTTTAACGTGCATGCCAACATGTTTTGAAAGCAGCTAGGCAATGCTTTACTTGTCAAATAATCAATTTGAGTAGATTTTACTTTGTATAACTATAAACCATGAAAAATTAGATATTACTTGAAAAATATAATTTGCGATAGGCAACTTTAACTTTGTTCAGTGTGGGACCAAAATCATTTTCATTTAATGATCCAAAAAATAAATTGATGCCAAATTAGACTGATTTAAAGGCTATCTGATACAATTTCAGCATTTTTTGTACTTCTAATGAAAGATGCGGAAATTTTACAACCATGATTCATTTTCAAGAGTCTGACTTTCGAATCTTCTTTTATATATAATTTGGTTTTCGGGAATATAAATCATACTGGCTTTCTCCAAAATGAGTTACAATAATAACACTAACATTCAGTGAAACTAGAAATATAAATATAAATCTTTGTTGCTATAGCGATAAAAAAGGAAGAAATCAAACCCATATATTCAGAATAATTCAATAAGTTTGGCTCAAATCTCTCTGGAACAAATCAAATAATTTTTTTTTTTTTTGGTATTTGGAATTTGTATCTTTTTTATTCAGATTTATCTATACAGTGGCAGACATCTTTTTTCTATTACATTAGTTATTATCTCCAGAATTCACTGAAGAGACACTAATTATTTTGAAGCTTCTTAGTTCTTGTAAAAAGGAATAGAAATGGGTTTTGATTAATGAGAGAGAGAAATGGGGTTTAACATCCATTTGACTCAAACTAGCTCCTTTCAGGACTAACATATGGTTCAATTTTATTTCAATAGTTCACTTGCGCGTAACGGTCTTTAGCAGTGAGAGGAAACTGGAGAACCCGGAGAAAACCCACGCAGTTGGACAGGTGATTGACTCAATGCCAGACCTTATGATACCACTTGGATGCGCTAACCATTCGGCCATTCAACTCTCAGATTTCCATAGGACCACAGCTCAGATATGGTTTATTATAGACGAAGAAATATCAATAACTTACCTTTATGGTGAGACAGAGTGAAAAGGGAAAGAATAAAACAATAACAAGAATGGAGAAGCCATACAAGATATAACCACAGCATCCAATGCTTCCACCATCATCTGACTGTTGTCCTGTAAAATACAATAAATACTTCATCTTAAAACACATTGAAAATTACAGTTTTCAGCCATTCGTTATTTATTTTTGTTAGGCCCAAGCAAAGTTTTAAGAATGAAATATGAGTTTATTTTTCATTCTTAGTTTGTATTTATTTGTGGTTTATTTAATGGTTCAGAGCGAGACATTACTGGTAAGTAATACATTGATACTGCATGAGGGGGCGACATCACAAGTGTTGTTTCAAAGACACTATTCTGCACATGCATTTCAATGAAATCATCATGCGAGTCCAATATTTCATCTAGTATAAATAATGCATGATTGTCACGTTGACCGTACCGTTATGCCAACATCAAAGGATGATGTTACACATGTATATTAAATATTAATATTGTGTTAAATCCTAATGAATTTGTTATGAATATTGTTATGAATATAGCATCATCATAGTTCATCTTTCAGTCATTAATGAATGACATATCACCTATTCTTTTGATTGTTCTTCTCTATATCCTGAATAGCAGCCATATTTAAAAATCTGTTTCATACAGACAAAAGACAATTATGAATAAATAGAGAGATCAATGTTACACTCAATTAAAAACAAAGGAAAATATACTATATAAAATATTTAAGTACACATAGTACCATCATTATATTCATAATCACATGATGTATTCTTTATTTTAAAACAGATCAATAATTTACATTCAATTTCTATTTTTAGTAATGAAATTTGTTTTGCTTTTTAGTCTTTTCACTTCATTGTAATTAAAAATCAATACTACAAGATTCTGCAATATCACGATATTCAGGTTATTTTTAAAATATCGCTCAAATATCATTACAAGAAAATATATATATATATATCTACATATATTACTATCTATCACAAAAACAAAATGGGGATTTCTACATAACTGGGCAAATAAAGGCAACCATGCATTGTCCCATGAAAGAAATTTTGCCTGGAAAGCAGATTTTCCACCTAACAATTCATCAAGTTTCAACTGTCAGTTTTAGTCCCATTCTAACAACTAGACACTGTTCATAGCCTAGCCCTTTAAACTATCATTTTGAATTCTTTATGAGCTGGATGGCTTACCTGGCTTATTCGTACCCATTTACAGATATAATGACAAAATCCACGAACATGTACCTATAATGTCTTATACAATGGTTTTTATAGATGAACTGTGTGTGTCCGCCTACAGAGTTTTCACTAAAAGTTTTAGGACATAAGTTATAACACAACTGTTCTGCCAATGTGATTGATTAGATTAATGAAATGTCAATACCGTTAACATTAAAGAGGCATTAGAAATTGCAATCAGGAAATAAATCTAATTAATTTCATATAATATCATCCTCAAAATAACTTTCAATTACGGTATAAAAAAATTTAAGATCTGGTCTAATTTGATTGAAGTTGAGCGCCAACAGAGCTAATGAAGACGGCCGAATGGCAATCACTATGCAGTGTACTGCAAGGGCTTATAAAGACGAGCATTTACATGCAGAGTACAACGAGGGCATTTCTGCCAATAAGGGTTCTTTTACGTACACACCGTCCAGCACCCGGAACATTTGTTTTTTTCTTCCTATCAAAACAACTAGACACTGTTCCTTGCTGGCGCCTTGATCCTGCACCACTGACCAGAGGAAACCATGGAAAATCTTGTCCAACACCAGGATTGAAACCGAGGACCTCTTAACTAATAAGCAACAGGATCAAAACTGAAGACCTCTTACCGATTACTAATAAGCACCAGGATCAAAACCCAGGACCTCTTACTGATGACTAATAAGCACCAGGATCAAAACCCACGACCTCTTACCGATAACTAATAAGCACCAGGATCAAAACCCACGACCTCTTATAGATGTCTAATAAGCACCAGGATCAAAACCCACGACCTCTGACCGATAACTAATAAGCGCCTGGATCAAAACCCACGACCTCTTACAGATGACTAATAAGCACCAGGATCAAAACCCACAACCTCTTACCGATAACTAATAAGCACCAGGATCAAAACCCCCGACCTCTTACCGATAACTAATAAGCACCAGGATCAAAACCCACGACCTCTTACTGATGACTAATAAGCACCAGGATCAAAACCCACGACCTCTTATAGATGTCTAATAAGCACCAGGATTAAAACCCACGACCTCTTACCGATAACTAATAAGCACCAGGATCAAAACCCACGACCTCTTACAGATGTCTAATAAGCACCAGGATCAAAACCCACGACCTCTTACTGATGACTAATAAGCACCAGGAACGAAGCCCAGGACTAATAAGCACCAGGAACGAAACCCAGGACCTCTTAACTAATAAGCACCGGGATCAAAACCCAGGACCTTTTACCGATGACTAATAAGCACCAGGATCAAAGCCCAGGACTAATAAGCACCTGGATCGAAACCCAGGACCTCTTAAATAATAAGCACCAGGATCAAAACCCAGGACCTCTTACCGATGACTAATAAGCACCAGGATCAAAACCCACGATCTCTTACCGATAACTAATAAGCACCAGGATCAAAACCCACGACCTCTTATATATTCTAATAAGATCCAGGATCAAAACCCACGACCTCTTACCGATAACTAATAAGCACCTGGATCAAAACCCACGACCTCTTACAGATGACTAATAAGCACCAGGATCAAAACCCACGACCTCTTACCGATAACTAATAAGCACCAGGATCAAAACCCCCGACCTCTTACCGATAACTAATAAGCACCAGGATCAAAACCCACGACCTCTTACTGATGACTAATAAGCACCGGGATCAAAACCCACGACATCTTATAGATGTCTAATAAGCACCAGGATTAAAACCCACGACCTCTTACCGATAACTAATAAGCACCAGGATCAAAACCCACGACCTCTTACAGATGTCTAATAAGCACCAGGATCAAAACCCATGACCTCTTACTGATGACTAATAAGCACCAGGAACGAAGCCCAGGACTAATAAGCACCAGGAACGAAACCCAGGACCTCTTAACTAATAAGCACCAGGATCAAAACCCAGGACCTCTTACCGATGACTAATAAGCACCAGGATCAAAGCCCAGGACTAATAAGCACCTGGATCGAAACCCAGGACCTCTTAAATAATAAGCACCAGGATCAAAACCCAGGACCTCTTACCGATGACTAATAAGCACCAGGATCAAAACCCAGGACCTCTTACCGATGACTAATAAGCACCAGGAACGAAACCCAGGACCTCTTACAGATGTCTAATAAGCACCAGGATCAAAACCCACGACCTCTTTCAGATGTCTAATAAGCACCAGGATCAAAACCCAGGAACTCTTATCTAATACGCAAGTGCCTTACTCACTGAACCATTAGATCAAAGCATTGTTTATGAGCATTTGCAGAAATTCTGAAAAATAGTAATAATTATAATCCATACAAATGCGGAAACTTAAAACAATACAACACTCTAATGTCTTTAACAGATTGTTAGATCTGTCATAAATATTGTATACAAATTAATTTGAAAATACGAAGCTTCTAGTTCTAAATCCCAGGAGAATTAAAGTGATATACCCTACAGTGAGTATTTACATGATAAATAAATATAAATTAAATGAAATGGGATTTACCGTCCTACACTGCTGCTCCGACTGGGCTAATGAAAAATGGCTTTCGCCATACAGTGCCCTGGGAAAAAAATTTCCCCGATAGCAGTGCTATGGCCTACTGTTATATCGTATTCCAAATGTCAAGGCTTCTTTTACGTGGCATGCCAATGTGTGAACAGCTTTAGTTTACTGTCCCATCCAAATGACAATACATTGTCCCTTGCCAGGCCCTCTGTCCTGTATCACTGACAAGAGGGATCACAACGGAAAATCCAGATGATCTTTCTCTGCCAACACCGGGATCAAACAAGGGACCTCTGAGTTAGATAACTATGTCTTACTCACTGAGCCACCCTGGCTCCTAAATATATAAATAAACCATATCCTTGGTAACATAACGTAATACTAACGATATGAATGTAACAGAAGTGTTATCCTAAAAACTATCTATACATGATAATCTGATAATTGATGTCCTTTGTAGCATACATGTATAACATTTCACGTTTTTATACACACTCATAAATAATTTTCAATATGAAAGTAATATATACAGTTGATAATAGACTCAAGTATAATCGAGACAGATGCAACTAGAATGTCACATACCAAAAAGATATCCAAAAAACATGAAATTTTGATAGAAGAACCAGTTTTACTTAACATTACAAACAACAAAGAAAACCAATAGAGAGAGAGAGAGATAAATGGGGTTTAACATCCACTTGACACAAACTTTATCATTTTGGGACTAACATGATTCAGGTGACCCTACCCCTTGTGACTTACAAGCATGGACCTACATGTAAACCACACCACTTGAATCAACTACAGATTCAATGATCTAAACCATTTGTCCACCCAAAGCTTTTCAAAATATAAACTGTACTAAACCAAAATATGAAACCAGTACTCTTAAAGCTACATGTATAGTCATAGTTAATAAAATAGCAAATTGAAAAAATTACTCCTAATCCTATGGTAATTTTCTCAACTTGTTTTCACAACTAACTAAAATAAATATTACTGTAATTTACAATTGTTAACATTACTGCTTTATTATTTGATGGGAATGTATAGATAATATCTTATGCATGAATATTTATAGACGAATACAATCTACAACTGACTACTGCACATCACACGTTAGGTAATCATTTTAGAAATTGTCATCTGAGATTGAACGTTCACCCTCTTATACGTGACTTAAACTTTTATTACAGTCTGTTTCTGGCTGTGTGAGGTACCAATTAAAAGTAATCATTTTTGAAATTGTCATCTGAGATTGAACCTTCAACCTCTACTACGTGACTTAAACTTTCATCACAGTCTGTTTCTGGCTGTGTGAGGCACCAATTAAAAGTAAAACTTCAGATAGATGGTTTTCGATTC